GATTGTTGTTGGGGGCAATATGCTGACTCTGTAAACCGCTTAGAGAGGGCTGAAAGCCCTATGAAGCGGTATATAAGTCTAACTGCTATTGCTGCCCAGGCATATTCTGTCTCTTGTCTGTTCAGCAGTGGCGTTTAGGCAAAATTGGGCATTTATAAATTGGGCATTTAGGAGCTGGGAATGTAGAATCAGAATTGATAGGCGTGCTTGATTCATTGGAGGGCTGTACTTTATTTCTTCCATTCTGCTTCCCAGCAGTTTTCCATTCACTCTCATTGTGAGACAAGAATAGCCCCGTTGAAAGAAATAAGGGTATCAGGGTTCCAAATAGCATCCAAAAGTAAATAGAGTCCAAGGCAAAGTATTGCTCAAAGTTCCAATTTATTAAAAGCCATGTTGGCACATCTGGGAAAACACAAATCTGAAAGCTTCCCAGTTTTCCCCATCTAGTTGAAAGTTCAAGATCCTGCCCCCACACCCACAAGTCCATCACATGGCCCAATCTTCCACTGCCATGCTTGCAGTTCCACCCATCCAGTTTCTATCAGGTGCAGAGACAAAGGATGACCTTGCTTTCTAAAAGGAATTTTGTTATGGCTACATAGCATCTAACTCAGTACAATCCCTACTCCCATTTTCCCACAATAGTAAAAGGCATAGTAGAATAATAGAAAGTGTGGCAGGCCAAAGATCCAAGAGAAATATGGCTGCAGGCCTGACAAAGGGTTCTGCTTGGGTTGACATCCTTATCAAGGCAGTGATGTGGGTTTTTCCTTCCCATCAAAGGGCCAGGCGTGAACTCAGAGAGTACCATCACATGGGATCGGTTTTCAAAGGTAAGGAATTGTCCTTGAAAAAAGCTCTTTTGAGGTGTCCACCTTGCCAGCATCCTCGTTTAACTGCCCTCTGTTTTCTTTCCCCTCCAGGAATCGACTGCAAGCTCTCCAGAGAACAATAATTTCAGCTTCTGGACCTGGATTGATGGGATCCTACTTCTGATTCAAGAGCATCTCCTTCAGCTCTGGAACAAGAAGTAAAAATTGGGGAGAAACAAAAAGTGATAAAAACGAGGACCTCTTGATTATTGCTAGCCTTTGGGGGAAATGCCAAATCATGCCCAGGTAGTCCTCAACTTGCAACAGTTTGTTTAGTGACCGTTCCAAGTTACAGCAGCACTGAAAAAAGTGACGTGACCATTTTTCATGCGCACAGCTATCGCCATGGTCACAGGATCAAATTTGAACGCTTGGCAGGTGACTCATATTTATGATGGCTGCAGTCTCCCAGGGCCAAGTGATCCCCTTTTGCGACCTTCTGACAAGCAAAGTCAACGGGGAAGCCAGATTCACTTAACAACCATGTTAACTAACTTAACAATTGCAGTGATTTGCTTAACAACGGTGGCAAGAAAGGTCGTAAAATGGGACTTTCACTCTGCAACAGAAATTTTGGGCTCAATATGGTTGTAAATTGAGGACTACCTGTATTCCTTAGGGAGACAGTCCCAAATATCGGGGTAGTAGCAGCATCTGGGAACAGAATTTCATAACCTTATCTTGGAAGCTGGGGATACAGCTTTTTCCCATAATGTTCAGCATCATGTTGTCCTACACCACTGTTTTTTTTTTTTCAAACTTGGTAACTTTAAGACATGGGGACTCCATCTCCCAGATTCCCCAGGCAATATGCTGGCTTGGGACTTGTGGGAATTGAAGTCTACCTACTTTAAAGTTGCCAAGTATTTTTTTTAAAAAAATAACCTGTCCTAGACCTTGAAATCTGTAGAGATTCTCAGTCATCCAGGTCATGGTTATCCCAAAGGTGCTTTTTCAGGAAGCAACTGGACTTCCTTGGGTTATTTTTTAAAAAAAAAAAAAACTTTTGACGACATTTCACTTCTCATCCAAGAAGCTTCTTCAGCTCTGACAGAAGAGTGGTATCAGGTGCTAATTGTCCTAGACCTTAACTGAGATTGCAGAAGCCAGGAAAAGAACACAGTGTTTAGGGGTTTTTCCCCCCCTGGGAAAGCCATTTACTAACCCGTGACTCTGCATGCAGGAACCAGGGTTTGAAAAGACAGCGAGGAAGAGGTGAAACCAAAGCTGTTGGAAAGCAAAGGAAAACGAGGGGCTTCTCCTGATCTGTATCTTTCCCATTCCCAAATTTGACTAGGCTCATCATGGGATTTGTGAGCCGCAAATATGAAAAGCGTTTGCTGAAAAAGAAAAGAGCTGGCACCTTCCTGATACGTTTTAGTGAGAGTACCTCCAGTGGCGGCATCACCTTTACCTGGGTAGATTTTAACAATGATGGTGAGTTTTTGGATTCCTATCTTACTTTTTAATCATCCTCAGTGATGCCTTAGAAAATGGCTTATCTCAGCTTATTAAGTGTTGGCATGATATTAGACCAGGATTTTTCAAACCCTGCGGTTCCTTAAAATTTGATGAGGTTCTGTAAGATACTTGAGGGCAATTTAAAAAAAAAATGTCACTCAGAAACAGCCAATTTTCTATCATTAGAAGTTTGTCTCTTTTTAAAATATTTTTTTAAATTTATCTCCAAAGTTAAAATACAGAATAAAAAGGAAAAAGAAGGCATCAACTGCAGACCAAATTTCCAAACAAATGATAAAAAGTGTGCCTACAACAAATAACAAATATATCATTGTTAACAAATTCAATATAAAATGCCCACCCTGATTAAATGCTGAAAAATATATATTTCAAATGCCTCAGATGTCCCCCCACTCTCCGTGCATAACAGGTCTACAGCTAATTATTATTTTCCCATCTATATTTACTAAAATACAATGTTATATAAAACTATTTCAACAATGTTGAAATTGATTGACCGTCTATCTAGTCGACCCACTATTCACTTAAAAAGAAAATAGTTGACAGGTAACCTCAAAAACAAAACAAAAATTTCAAAGCCTTCTGTTATTGGACTTAACACAGAGAAAGTCCACCGCTTCCAGTCTCCTACAAACTATTGTTTCTAATCAGTGCTCTTAATTTTGCCATCTCTGCCAATTCAGCCTTTTTTAAAATCTACTCTTCAACAGTCGGTGTCCCTTTTTCTTTCCAATCCTTGGCATAAACAATCCTTGCAGCATTCATCATGAAAAGAAATACAGTCCCAAACTGTTTTTTTATTGATTTGTCCATAATACCTAGAAGAAAAGCTTCGGGTTTCGTTAATATTTGCATTTTGATTATTTTCTGCATTATCATTATTATGTTTATCCAATATGATTTACATACTTACAAGACCACCCATATGTTATAAAATGTATCTGGAGTTTGATTGCATTTCCAACACTGGTTAGAAGTTCCTCTGTACATTTTTGCCCATTTGTCTGGAATCGAATACTGTTGATATATCATTCTATAAAAATGTTCTTTCAAACTGTAATTCAAAATAAATTTTAAACTCTTGGTCCATACATTCTCCCATCTAATGGGAGAATTAGATCATTGATCTAATGATATGCCATGTTTCTCCAAAAAGATGACCTACATTGAAAAGAAGCCCTATCACAATTTTGAGCGCATGCAATTAAATTAAGCCCCACCCAGAAAATTAGCCTAATTAAGACCCAGGGGATGGGGCACACAGGTAAAAAATAAGCTAGGGTGGGGATGGGGGGGTGGAGCTGCCCTATTTACCAGGCCTCGCACACCCTGTCACCTGCCTTGCCTTCTTGCTGCCACTTGCACATATTGCCCAGGCCTCCGTTTCTCCTTCAGATGCCTACTGGAAGGTATCTGCAGCCAATAACAGAGCTCCGGATCACTGCAGTTGCCTTCCAGCAGGCACTTGAAGGCAAAACAGAGGCCAGGGCGATGTGTGCGAGTGACGGCAAGCAGCTGCAGAAGAAGTTAGCCAGCAGCGGGCTCCTGCTGTCAGTGCCACCGCTGCAAGGCGAGTCAATAATTAGAACCCTCCAAAAAGAAGGCCTGTTTTTTTCAGGGGTCAAAAGAAAACAAGACCCAACCTTCTTTTTGGAGAAACGGGGTATTA